GGGCACAGGCCTTTGAGTGTCTTTAAAGTGGAGAGAGAGAGAGTGAGAGAGAACAGCACCACCCTGCCCCTGGGCACACAGGGAGAAGTTGCATGCTGAAGATGATAATGTTGTGCACCAAAGGAGACAGACTGTGCACAGCATTTGCTATTCAATCATTTTGGTTAACTGTCCTGGTATTTTCCCTTCCCATGACCTCTTCTCCACTCAACCCTTTTATGTGCCTCTTCTGCATTTTGGTGTCTCTTAGATTAATTTGTCTTCCAGGTTTTGTCCTGTTCCTCTCTTTCATTAAGGCACTCTTCCACCCCTTCGGTGACACAGTCCTGTCCCCCCCCGCCCAACACCATTTATACTTGTGAGTGATGGAGGCAGGGGTGAAGGACAAGCTTTGATAAAACAAGCTGTGAATTTGGGGGCACAAGGAATCTGGGAGCTCTTGCTCCAGGCTAGCAGCCAGCCACATTTCTCTGAAGAGCTTTCATAAAATCTTCCCAGCGTTTTATCAAAGAGGTGATGCTGTCATGGGTTTGTTTATTATTTTCCTTCTGGGCTTGGTCTCTTCATGGCTTCTTCCTTTCATTTTTGAGGAGGAAACATTTGCAGCTCTGTCAGCCCCTGGGAGGAAAGTAACATACAAAGGGAGCAAGGGTAATGAGAGAGCCTTTTCCTGAGCCAAGGTAACACAGCTTTATGGTCACCTATGCCCTAAACATGTGGGAACTGAGCTTTTCCCTTGAGCAGTTTAGGCCAGGAGGTGGTCAGTGGAAGAAAGACCTATGGCAGGAGTTCAGGGGCACAGTCTGTGTGCTGTCTCATGTACCCTCCCAGCTCTGTTCCTCTACCTGCTCCCCTTTCTCTCTCTCCAAAGTCTCTGACCTTGACGAGGCTTCCCTTCCTATTGTGCCTTAACCTTCCTCTCTGACAGGGTCTTCAGTGCTTCCTTGCCTCCCAGTGCAATCACTCAGACATTTCACCCAAAACTTGGGAAAATCTGTTTAAATCTTTCCCTCCTCCATCCTCTTCCCCTCCTATTGAAGTCAACCTCCATATGGGTTTCACTGCACTGAGGTGACCAAGGACTTGTCCATAGTGGAGGTGGATGGAGGAACAGGGTCAGGTGAGTTTCCATCCCTTGGTGTTTGCCTGTTCCAGCCTTTGCTCCACATGTACCATGTCATGGCCTTGCCTGGGGCACCACATGAGCCTGGGACCACAGCTCCTTTGGGTGACGCCCTGGTTTGTGCTTCTAATGTACCTGCCCGCTGGCAGAACATTGGAAACTAAAAAAGTTCTGGGTTTTGGATAAACATTACTTAGCAACAAGCAAAACACCAGTGTGTCATCAATGTTGTTCTTCACTAAAGGCAAAACCCAGTACTGTACCAGTACTAGGAAAATTACAATGAAAATGAACTCTTAGCCACAGACTTATCAGCTTGCAGACTAATGCTTCAGCGAATTCTCACAGACTTATCTAGGTGAAAGTCCACAGCTTGCAGACTAATGCTTCAGCGAATTCAGCTACTCAAGCTAAGTTAGTAAAGCTAAGAAAACAACATACTGAATCACACAACAGTATAACTCTGTGGCTCATTCTATTTGAAATTTACTTATTTAAGCTAAACAACTAATGTATCTCAACAGTCCCCCTTGGTTTTTATTAAGAATTCCTACTCACATGCTCACAGCTCACAGAACATAGCTCATGAAACCTTTCAAATTATGTGATTATTCTCCAAGATTTTATGTACAAGGTGACTTTCAGTAACAAGTTGAGCTTAGATGCAGTTAAAGCCAAGTGAGACATTGCCTTGGACTATTGCAAGAGCACTGCAACAGCAAAAGCAGTTGATCTACAGTCAAATGCTGGTCTCCTTCCCTGATTTTTCCCACTGAGGTCGTGTATCAGACCCAAGCCATTGTTTAGTCTCAAATGCTAACAGAGAGGACCACGTTGGGTGTTCCAGATTTCTTGAGTCACTTGTGGTTATGCTGAATTTGTGCACAAGTGCATCAGTACATATACTATTTAAGGGTCTCAGTCCTGTCCCTCTAGTACCAGCTGTATCTCTTGTTCATCTCAAGGGTCCAAAGGTTTGCTCCTATAGCCATGCTCACCATCTCACACAGGATGTGTGTAGGAATGGTGAACAGGTCCGTTTGACTGTAGAAACACCAACATGTGTCATCAGTTCTACCTGTTTCAGTGATCATGAGGGACTAAATAATACCTACTGTCCCTAAGTGTTTAAGAGCATATTGTTCAATTTCTGATATTTGTTGGATCAACTCCTCTCTTATTAGCAGAGTGGAAATTGGATTCATTGTGGTGGGGAGAGGGACTGTAGATGGTATCAAGTCAATATTTTCCCAAGGTAAAGTAATTTATAATCTGCCAAGTTCACTGTTAAGTTCCATACCTGAAATTAAGAACGACTAGCAAGACTGGAACAATAAGATCTAATTTTTTTACTACCTCTGTCACAGAAGGATCACATGCTTTTATCTGATACACAACAAAAAATGAGTCAAGAACTTGGAACTTGAACACTGAACGCTCTTTGTAAATTTTTTCTTTCCAAATGTATTACTTTTCCATCACTTTGGAAAGTGGTGGAAATTCTTTCTTTTTGGTTTGCCACTTAGTCATGCTGTGGTTGTCACCTAAATTGATATTATCATGACAAGAGTAAGATCCCAATTAATTTTTTGTTTATTTTCAGGATTCTGTCATCAATCAACTGGCTTGGTTATGCACTACTTTTTTTGATGTAAGAATGGTGTATCCAGTTTTCTTTTCCTAGAACTTTAACAGCAAAATAAGAATACACTCAGACAACATATAGCCCCTCCCTTTTGAGTTCAGTTTTGATTTTCAGAAAAATACTTTAATTAAGACTTTGTCTCCAGGCTATTTATCATGTGCCTGCATTTCAGGTGGTGTCAATTGGCACCACTTGGGCATGTTTTCTTTAACCCTTTTTGCATACATATGTCTCACAGGAGTGGGACTCTAGTCTCAGCAGTTAAAAGTCTCAGGTCATCTGTGTGCAGCTCCTTGAAAGGTGTGACAATGCTCAGGCAGAGGCTTCTCCCTTAATATGTTTCATTTCATTTCATCTCATTCTTACTTCCTTACTCTATTTTCTCTTGCATATTTAGGAGCATCAGGAAGCACATCCCCTAGAAACCCCACTTCAAAGACAGGAGGAAGCATGAACAAAGAAATGACTGAATGTGTGTGAGAATCTTCTTCCATGGTGTATGTCCTTGCTGGTAGTTTTGGTCTCCTATTTTTCTCCCTTCTGGCATTACAGATATCCCATGAAGAGGACAGTGTGGTGTCTCTGGGGGACAGTTTGTATTGCAGATTAGCTCTTGGCCGTACCCTGTCTCATCAGCTGTACACCAGGTAAATAAGCAGAAAATCATCACCATTTTTTCCTGTGAGATTTTGTTCAGCTTCTTCAAAGGAAACCCAGGAAAAGTCTTCCAGAGTGATATGTGTGCTAACAAGCTCTCATCTTCAATACAAGCTTAATCTCTGTCTTGGATACAGAGCTCACGTTGTACCCACTTCTCTTGTTTTTAACATATGAGTGCTCTGCAGGCAGGGAGATCTAGCCACACAACGAGTCTTCTCTCCTGCAGGGGATAATTTTACTCTTGGAGACATACAGTGAGATGATTATCCCTTTGTGTCTGTTTTCCTCAGGAGACCAGGGCTATGTGATCATGCTGTAGGGGTGTGCAAGAAGGTGAGTGTGTGTATTGCCTGCACTGCAGAGCGTCTCTCTGCTCCCCTGTTACCTTTGAAGCGCTTGGCCCATTGTGGGCAAAATAGGAGAAGGGCCAATAACAACAGGAGTGGAGAATTCCTACAGATTCTATGAAACGTCTCTGGCTGGATGGAGAAATGAAATATTATTATGACTCTGTTGAGAGGACATTAGTAAGCATGACAGTTAAACTATGACAGCCTCCAAGGACTGGAAAAAGGGAAGCAGTGACCTGCAATAACAGGATCCCAGAGTTGAGATAAATATATACGTAAATGATTCTCAATTTTTTTTTTAACTTGGAAAACAATATTTGTTTTGAAAACTTCTCTTGTTTACAATAAAACTAGCACAAAGGTCACTGTGCTTTTTAGATTAAAGGCCTATTTTGGCTAAGCAGGTTATTCTGCGTAAAACTCCCTTCTGGTTAGACACAGCCCCCTCTACATTCAGATGCTGACTACCAAAACTCAGTTCTTGCTTATTTTCCCATGCCTGGACATATATATATTAAAAAATATTAAAAAGGAAAAGGAAAAGAGAGACTAAAGCCTTCTGCCTGTTTCAGTGTGCCATTGGGCAAACCAGGCCGAAACATCAAAACCTGACTAATTGCTGTAAGTCAACTGATAAAATGTCTGTGTCACTCTGTGCTGTCACCCATTTCCAGGAAGGCAATTACATTGTTTTCTCTGGCTTTGAGGGAAAATGTGTGCTGTTCCAGGGAGCAGAGTTGGCTCGTGGAAGCTGTGGCTTTTTAGATAAAAGGCCTGTTTTGGCTAAGCAGGTTATTCTGCATAAAACTTCCTTCTGGTTAGACACAGCCCCCTCTACATTCAGATGCTGACTACCAAAACTCAGTTCTTGCTTATTTTCCCATGCCTGGACATATATATATTAAAAAATATTAAAAAGGAAAAGGAAAAGGAAAAGAGAGACTAAAGTCTTCTGCCTGTTTCAGTGTGCCATTGGGCAAACCAGGCCGAAACATCAAAACCTGACTAATTGCTGTAAGTCAACTGATAAAATGTCTGTGTCACTCTGTGCTGTCACCCATTTCCAGGAAGGCAATTACATTGTTTTCTCTGGCTTTGAGGGAAAATGTGTGCTGTTCCAGGGAGCAGAGTTGGCTCGTGGAAGCTGTGTGCTGTGAGATCCCAACACAACATTGCACCCACCGCCCACCAGCCAGTCCTGTTAAATGCCTGGGCCTGTACCCTTGGCACTTGGTGACCGTGGAGCAGACTCCTCATTTTGTGTGTTGTCAGTCATCTTTGTTATTTCCTCTCTTGTGAGAAAACAAAAATGAGCTACGAGGACCAGGATCAAAGCTGCAAGGCCCCGGAGGAGCTGTGGGTGAATCACATGGATACTCTCCAGATATGAGGCAAACACAGTCAAGTCATCAGGGCGCTAGAGATCCTGCTGGGAAGGGGACGACTCATTAGGGAGGTTAAAGTGAACTCAAAGCCCCGGAGTGGAGAAAGAAGGTAATTTTCTTCCGGGGCTGGTTCTTTATCCAAGCTGTGCTGGGATGCTCATCAGAGGGGCTTGGAGCTGTGGAGTATATGGGCTGCTCTCCTGGGTTTTTCTCCCGCTGGTGTGAGTGCAGCTGGGGTAATGTAAACCTTTAATTTAGATCCTATTTACAGTAATGCATGGTAAGTATTACAACACTGCAGTTGCCAGGATATAAAAGCCAGGAGCATAAACTACTTCTTTTTCTCAGCTACATTTATAACAGAAAAATACTTTTATTGGGGGAGAGGTGTGGTTATTTTATTCCACACTTTTTTTCCCATTCCTGGATGCAGCTCCAGGGTGTTCAGTCTTTCTGCCCAAGGCATGAAACCTGTGATTTCCTGCTTTAGGGATTTTGCAACACACTCAGGTGTGTCCCACAAGCCCACAGTTCAAAGGGTAATTTGGCCACAAGGCTTTTTAAGTCTCTAACAAGAAGAGAAGTTCTGGAATGGGGAACACATAGTTCGCCTATAGTTACTGTGTGGTAGCTGTAGCCATGGTTCAATGAGGATTTAAAAGAAAAATCTAATCATCAGGCACAGTCCACAGGGGTTCACCAAGGGAATGTCCTGTTTAACTAATTTGATATCCTTCTATGATAAGGTCACCCACTGAGTGGGTGTAGTTTTTCTGGATTTTAGGAAGGGTTTTGATACTGTCATTCAGAAGTGTCCAGCTGTGGGATAAGCAGGTTCATGGTGCGCTGGGTGCAGAACTGGCTAAAGGCAGAGCTCAAAGGGTGGTAATGAATGGGGCCTCATCTGGCTGGCAATCAGGGGTTTTCCTCAGGGGTCAATTCCAGGGCCAGTTCAATGTATTTATCAACAATCTGGATGCAGGAGTGCACCATGAGCAAGCTGATGATTGCTGTAGGTTCCTTCCAACAAAAATAACCTATTCTGTTTTTCTGATGTAGAGTGACAACTATTGTAAAGGAAAGTTCCCTGCCCAGACATCCAGGAGCCACTCTGGCCATCACGATCACACCCCTTGAGCTGCGGCCCCTTCCCACCATGATTCACACAGTCAGACTGGGTTTGCTCACTAGCTTGATCCCAGGTTTCCCACAGAAGCAGAGTTTCAGACATCTTGATCCTTAAAATAATTTAATCATGGTGCAATAACAAAATAACAGCTTGAGGTATTGCCTCTGATGAGGAACCCCAGCAGAGAAATCCGTGAGCTTTTATACCCACACATTCTGAGTGTGGGGAAAGCCTGGAGTCATTGGCTTCTGATGTGGCCCTGAATGCCCAGTCCCCTGTCCAGGTTGCTTTGTTATGCAAAGGGCCAGCAGTTCCCATCCTCTGGCTTGGGGCTCAGTCTCTGGCTTCTGCTCTCCAGAGCTCAACCTGCCTACCAACCTGCCTGTGTCAAATGTGTTCCTCAGCACTATCCTCCCTTTTACCTTCCAGCTTTTTCTGTTCTTTCTTACCTGATCTCTCTTATTTTTTGCTTTTCCTATAAGAAGAGGTCTGGTTCTCTTGTGTATTAGTTCTAAAAAATGTATTTTATCTATCAGTTGCTATGGCTTCAGTGCCTTGTAGAAACTAAATGTGGTATACAGACCCTGTATTAGAGGCAGCTGTGAGATGACTCAAGTTGTGTCTTCCAGCCTTGCTGGTGTTTGAGAAAGGGCTTCTCCTCCTGGCATGATTTTGTAGGGGGCTCTAAGGACTTGATCTTCAAGCCATCAGATTATGGTTTCCCTAAAGTGACTGACCCTGGAAAGCATTTCCTAAGAAAAACACAACTGGCTGAAAAGCAAGTTAAATAAGAACAGTGACTGACTGTACCATTAGAAGTTGGCTCTACAAACAAGGAGGCTTTTGGATTCCTCCAGAGCCTGTTTTCCTAGAATAGTTTTATATTGTTTTATGCATTGCTTCCCCGCCTCCTCCTCTTTATTGCCATAATAGAGAAAAGTGACATAATTGTGGACATGTGCTTCAATTGAGGACACATGCTAGTGTTCATAGTGGTTATAGTTGATGCCAGACAAGAACAGTAGCTGGATGAAGAGCCAGGAGGCAGAAGAAAGAAGCGAGACCCTACGGATTAGCCTGAAAAATGATGGTTTGAACATAGAGCGGGTGTCAGAAGATGAGGGACAAGGAAAATTCCCTCAAGAATGAGGAGCATGAGATAAAAGATAAAAGCAGATATTTGAAAACCAGCAGGTAATACAGGATACCTGGGCTATCTGGATTGGGACTGAAACACTTTGTGGTTACCACTGATGGAATCCCATGCAAGATTTGACCAATTGAAGGAAGTGCTCACACATCCTGATGATATAGCACCCCACCAACCCAGTGTTTTATTAATCCTTCCTCATTGTGTTGAGTCCTTGCCTTGACTCTTGTAAAGTTCCTTGAAAGTGCAGTCAGAATGGGAGCTGGCATGCAAAAGCTTTGCTGAATTTGTGAGGCATCATATGCTCACCACTGAGTTTTGTTCCTCCTACCCAGCTTCAGACACTTGTTTCTTGGGAATCCAGCTTGGAGAAATATTTCTGGACCCATTATTAACACTACATAGTACAGCTTTGCTGCTGTTGGATTATGCTTTTGGTCTGATAGCAGACATGGGACATGATGAGAATTCAGGATTGCTGATTCTCCTTACCCTCTTGGTTCACTCTTGACTATGTGCATGTGAACAGAACTAACCAAGATATTACAACTTAGGAAATTGTGGGGAGCTGCAATTACTGTGTGTTCTCAGTCTGTCCCATCTGTATAGACATTTGTAACCAATTAATTCACCATGAATCCACAATACTTAAAAATTATCCACTCTTCCTGGGTTAATCAATGCTATTACTCAAAAGAAGGGAAAAAGAAGAGAAATTGGCTTAAGCTGAGGAAAGTGTGCGACCAGAGACACACATTTTGTACCTTGGTGATATTCCAGATGGAGCCAGAGTCACTGCAGGTAAAAGACACTGTAAGACCTACAGCACAGCCTTCATAGGAGAACTCAGAGGCTCTTGCCACTCCTGCTGCACTGCAAAGAACTTTCCTGGAAAAGCCTTATATTCCTGGAAATGTCCTCTCCATTAGCTGTCCCCAGTGTGATCCATGCAGGTGAGTGACGTATGGGTTCTAATCCTTTTGTTTCCTGAAGTACTGCACTATCATGAGCAGGAGAGAGCATTATCACACCCACTGATTCTCAAGAACTGCGATGTCAGTCAAGCTAAACAAAATTAAACAAAGAATTTGTATATGACAGCAAACGAACCAGAAGAGCTTAGTGTGTTGGAAGAAGAGACAAATAAGGGAAAAGCACATTCTGTACTAGTCATCCTATGGCTGGCCTGCACCACCTTTCTTACTGTGCACCACACAGCCAGCCCAGGACCCCTTTCTCTGCCTGTCCTGTCATGCTTTTCTTGGACAAGCTATGCAGCTTTAAGTTGTTCTTAATGGAAGCAAATGCACATTTCAGTATTTATCTTTCTTTTGTACCAAAACTCACTGTGAACTTCAGTTCAGATTCAAATCTTGCCTCCTCTCCCCGCAAATGAGCTCTTTCATAACTGACTTGATTAGGAGGTCTGTTGCCTGTGAAATTGTTTATACTGAATTGTTATCGTGAGGTGAGGCAGGACTTTTGTTCTCCTGCATGCACGTGAGGCTCATTACATTCTGAACGGGGTCTGACAACCAGTAAGTCAAGGATGATTTGGCTGCAACTGGTCCCCGACTTAGGTTTTGTGGGCTGTAATCTTTCATTTGTATGCAACATGGGCATGAATCCACCTCAGTTAGCAAGCCAGTTAACTGTGTTAATCCCAAAATACAAATTACTATGAAGCAGAGGCTATTTCAGATTACCAATGGTCCTGTACCTTTTTTGGTAGTGGTGGCAACTCAGAGACTGTCTGCTGGTGGCCACTCATTACAGCTCTCAGGCTGGCATAGGAACACCTAGAATGTATCTGCCTGAAACAGATCATAATTTTCTGGCTTATTTTTCAACTAAAACAAGTCATGAACCTCTCTGTGGCCACACAAAAAGTTGGCAAGGCTGATGGAAGACTGTACCCCAGAAGCTTTGTCTGAAGACCTCGTCAGAGATCTGCACTTCAGTCTTCTGCTCAGACTAGCTGGGCTATCCCCAACACTTTACAAGGCTGGCCACTTTACATACATTGATTCACCAGTGTTCCGAGGATGGAAATAACTCTGGTGACCAGATCCAGGGCTGGTCCTCCATCCCTGCTGGAATCTTAGATGCTGAGAATTTTAAACTTTCTGTGCTTAAAGGCACAGACCCACAAGAGAACATTGCATTTGACCTGAGGCCATGGAACAGGCTTCCAAAATTAATTGACAGTACTGAGATTACTGGTGTGTAGTTGGTTAGAAATGTGTAATATCACAGGTCAGAAAACTTAGAGTTTGGAGTTTTAGAATATAGAAATAAATATGAAACAAGATAGAAGTTTTAAGGCAGAGGCAAGTTGTTTGTCTTTACATTCTTCTTCCTTCTTCTTCATGGGGATGTTTTGTAATTAAACAGAAAAGTCAGCATTGTGGACTTTGAGGGATCAGTTATTGAGTTAAAAGGGAAAATAATCTAAGTGTCCTTTCTTAATTAGGTAATTTAGTCTTTAAAGACCTTGTAACAAGAGTAAGCCATTTTGTGCCTTACTAATGAAAGGCTACAGAACTCATAGTCATGAGACTGTTTCACTGATAAGAAATAATAAACACCTGAGTCCAAACATGAACTACAGTCTAAGTGCCTTCAATCCCAACCTTGAGAAATTGATACATCCCAGCTGTTGTAAGTGTAAAATAGTGTAGAAAATGCAAAGCTCAGTATGCCATGGAACACACAGGTGGAAGCATAGAAAGCAGATGGAGGCCTTGTGGTTTGTGTCACTGTGGCATTGGTGCATGGGATCATGGAGTGAGGCATAAGCTGTATGGTCTTGTTCTTCTACCCCATACCCACAAATGTCAAGTACATCTCCTATTAGAAAATATTCTATAAAACACGCCCACAAAGAATGGAAGATTTGACCACAATCCAAACCACAGCCCTCTGCACAATAATGATTAACAAGGTATAAAAAATACCCTAGTGCTGCATCTAACCAGAGGATCAGAATTGGACATGAAATTGCAGGGACAGGTTGACAGGTTTGTTCTCTCCACTCTCCCTTGACTGGATACCTTTTGGTAAGCCCTGTGTACTCAGCTGCGTGAGTGTTGACATACATTAAGCTGGTGATTGCAATTGTACTTTTGGTGCTATGTGTAATTGCTCTGCATTATCAACAGCAAACCAAAAAACCCTGACGTGTTGCATTCAATAAATTTTGTGATTTGTGAATCCCACTTGCTCTTTTGAATGTGATTCAACATACAGGTCATTGACTATTTTCCCATCCAGTGCTGGACCTCTAGTTATGCATTTGCAACACCAGCTAAAAAGTGTTTACTCAAGTCCACTGTGGACTTCCCAGAGTTCACTTTGTTACTCCTTCTTATGTCAACTGCACCTGCTGAGAACAGCTCCACCAGCTCAACCTATTTGTTGGCTCCTATTAGATTTCCCCTTCAGACTCCTCTTCACCAGACTAATTCCAGCTCCCTAGACTCTGTTTCTAGCACACGTGTTCTGTTTCCTGGTCTTGGTAGCTCTCTGCTCTTTCTTCAGTTTCTTGAATGAACTGGACACCCAGCAGTGGAGATTGTAACTCCCTTGTTCTGCATGCCACAAAAGTCCTGACATAGACCAGCATGTGGTTTGCCCAGTTTGCAGTGGGAGCACATTGTTGGCTCATAATCAGTCTGACATTAACAACAGGAATTGGACTTGGTGATCCTTTTGGGTGCCTTCCAACTCAGAATATTCTGTGATTCTAAGAGTATGGTAAGATGTCACAGTCAGGTCAGGGTAGGGCAGGAATATCCATCATCAGTACCTGCACTGATGACAGACCTGTCCCATGGACTCAGCAATGTCAGTGCTCAATTTGCACACAAAACATGGCTCATGTCAAAGGACTGTTTTCCAGCCACCTGAGGGGGAAAAAAAAAGCCTGTAGCAGCAGATCTGCACTCAAAGAGATCTCAAAGGAAATTCTATTGCTTTGTGATAGAGAGGTGATTTAATTCATTTCTCTGACTTCACTTACTCTGAAGCCCAGTGTCCCAAAAACATACTAAGAAGCAGTGTGGGAAACACCATAATTTTAAATAATGTCTGCATTACTTGTGGTCTGTAAATATCTCATCAGATATTGCTGAGGATCTCATCTCTGATACCCTGGGAAACTTCCAACATAGATAATTGCCTCCTGCCTAATTCAATTCACATTTAATAGAGTGGCAACACTCAAGTGATTGCCGTGGGGTGAATAACTGGTGGGAATCAAGAGTGCACAAAAAGCACATTAAGAAACAGAGATGGAAATCCATTGACAATCAATGTTTGGGGAAAAGTCCTCCTCCCTTGCCTCAGGAAGTCCTGAGCCAATTTCCCACTTTCAGCTGCACCAGCCTGAACATATGGAAAGACACCTTGGGTTGTTCTTCTAGAAGGGTAATGTCATGAAGGATTACATTGGAGGTGGTGCCATGTGGGGTGCCACAATTCTTTCTGCAAAACTCTTAACAAATCTCATGTTTTCTTCAAACCTTGTTAGTAGGTATTATAGGGACCACGGACCTTTGTTTCTATGCACTTGCTATCCCTGCTATGGAAAATGGAAGGCATTCTATTTGCCACCACTGGTGGAAGGGCAGCAATACTGTGAGCACACAACTCTTGTAACACGCTGGTTGGTGTACACAGTGCATTCAGAATTGACACCATTTTCATCCTGTGCCCATCTGTGTCCAGTATTCAAACATGCCATCTGCAAAGGAAAAACAGATATATTGCTAAGATAGCTGGAGATAGGCATGCCAGAGGGACAAGAAGGCCTGTCTGTTTTAGTCATGGCTAAGCTGACACTTGCTCCTGTTGTTGTTGTTGCACAGTCTTTCCTCCCCACACATGAAGCAAACTGAAATCGGCTAGTTTTGCTGAAGAAGAAGGAGAAAAGTTTCCTGCCCCAGCAGAGGCTTTTTTCTCTACTCTGTGCTCTTTGAGATTCTATCTGATGAATTTATTGTCTCCTTAGTAGATTGACAAGTTTGCTGGGCTCCAAGATCCTCTGTGGCAGGTGATGCATGTGCACCTAGCAAAAAATTTGTCAGAGATCTTACAGCCCCAGATGGGTCAAAGCAGGACAAGAAACAGCTGCTTCACATCAGGTGGCCATCCTTGCATGGAGGCACAGAGGGATGCACCTTACCTCCACCTGTCTTTCTTGTGAAAAATTGCACTACTACAACTCCTCTCCTGAATAAAAATCTAGAGATCTCAACTTCCTTGCGGTGATGAGATCCTTGTTTCCCTCCCTGGCAGGCAGCTGGCTCCTGGTGGTCTTCCTCCAAGTGTCTTTTCCAAAAATTGTGCTGTGTCTTGGGGATAATCTCAATCTTACATTTTACAGTCAAGTTTTGAGTGTCTGAACATCACCCCACTGCAAAACAGCCCTTTTTAGAGAAGACCCCAAGAAGAATCACAGAGTCATAGATTGGTTTGAGTTGGAAGGAACCTTAAAAGATCTTCTTGGTCCAATACATCTACTGTGGGTAGCGATGTCTTCCATTAGACCAGGTTGCTCAGAGCCCCATCCAACATGGCCTTAAACACTTGAGGAATGGGACATCCACAACTTCCTTGAGCAACCTGTGCTAGTGTCTCACCTCCCTCACAACAAAGATTTTTCTTCTAATATCTGGTCTAAACTTGAGCTCTTTCAATATGAAGCCAGTCCCCATTTTCCTACACTACGTAATCTTATAAACAGTCTCTCTCGCATCATAGAATCATGGAATTTTTTTGGATTGAAGGAGACTGTAAAGATCATTTAGTTACAACCCGCAATGTCCTTTCCACCTGTTAATCTCTGGGATTCCCTCTCCCAACTCTCCCACAGTAAAGGAACAGCTGCTTGTCAATCCCAGGTGGTGCCCCTGAGGCAGCACCTCAGCAGGGAAGGTAGCCCAGAGCCTTC